CCAAGTTTTGCTTGTCTTAAAAATCCAATTTTTAAATTGTTTTTAATAACAGAATAAAATATATTTGCTTATAAATATATTATATTAAAAAATTCTTTATGAAAATCCCAGAAGTGCAAAACAGCACAATTCTTGTATTGAATTATGACAACGAAAGTAAAAAGATCGCGAAAGGCCACTTGCGGTACTACGTCACCTGAATTAATTTTTGTTTTGATCAGTCTCTTGTTGTTATGTATTTATTTCTGTTCATGTTCATATTGTCTTTTTGCTGAGCATTATAATTTTATATGTATTTTAATTGTTATGTATCAATATTGTACACTCAAATGCTCACCCAGAAACTGTTTTTGGCAAATAAGGCATTTCTTTTACTGTCAATATTAGCTACTCTGTCATTAATTGCTGTGTAATCACGGCTATATTTTTGCGCACTTACTCTTCTACCTTCAACGGCTGGCAGCTTCAGGTGTTACTCTTGATCGGACTCTTTATGTGTTTTCGTTGTTTATCAGACTTTGCTACACACACTGTCCATTTCATTATGAATTGTTACTTTGTGTTCATTCCTCTAAAGAATTATTCAGAACTCGCAGAGAATTGAAAACCGACAACGCATTATTTCAGGTTAGCGAATCTCTCATGTTTGCCTGAGCTGACAATTTTTGCAGATCCCATATTAAAATGTAACTAAATGACCGTCGTACTTAGCTAAAAAAATATTTTTTGCCTTTCGACAATTAATTCATATTCCCTGACTAGAAACTTCAATGCTTTTTCAATTTTTGCCAATATATACCAAACAGCATGATATATATCAAACAAACTATGCTAAATTACATAAGATATTGTTTCCTGTGTACGGGTTCGTTATGAATTGAATGCACAAGTTCGATGGAAAATTAACAAAATTTATTATTATCATGACAAATAAAACAAAATGCTTAAATTTCCTCAGATATTCGCACAGTATTACAATATCTCACAGTAGTTATCTTTTAACTACTCAAACGTTCAACAAAACTTAATTCAAAACAGCTAAAGAAAGCTAATCCGTGAATTTGTTACAATCAACAAGAGCAGTTTTCTAAACAAACTCTTAAAACAACAACTAACTGACTAACTGAATGCCAATGATTATAAATTACGAAGTGCCTATGGTTCAAAACCATATACTTCCACATCAGAAAAATATCTAAGTAGTGAGCAGAAAAAGGAAAAATGCATAAATAGTTATCATGTTGGCACAGAGGGAGCCACATTAGTTCGAGAAAGTTTAGGGATAGGAAAAATTAAGTTTTGATTCTTTTCAAGTTTTTTGGTTTTAAATTTTTTTTGTATTTTTTTAATTTCATAATTTTCATTTTTATATTTTGTCTAACTAACTGAGAGGTTTTCATGCCGCTTATATAAGCTTTTTAAATGCATGCGAATTTTCTGGTATTTTCTCGAAATCAAAAAGACATATTTATTTATTAAATGTCATATGCGCGTGCTTTGTATTTTTAATTTTTCGACTTAGCTTTCCTTTAATATTCGTCACGCGCTGCACTGCACGGAGAATAAAACAATTTAGTTTATAATTCTACTAACATTAGCTATTTAAATTCCAAATACATAGCAATATATATGGGATCTTTAAGAATCGCAAAATTAACTGATACCTATCAGTTAAATTTTTCGAATAATGAACTTATGGAGAAATTTGGTAATTGATAGTAAGTTTAAATAATTATTGGGTACATGTCAGCTAAACATCACTGTCGGCTTAATGCCCTGTTGAACTTATGGAGTTGTTGACTAAATGTCTTGACAGCTAAATGTCCATGTCGGCTAAATAACCTGTCAGCTAAGTGTCCTTGTCGGCTAACTGTCTGTGTCAGTTAAATGACCTGTCGGCTAAGTGTCCGTGTCGGCTAAATGTCCTGTCGGCTAAGTGTCACTGAGCCAGGATGAATGGAGCAGTGAGTAAATTTAGTTTCAGGTGCAACTTCCTTCATTTGAGAAATAACATCATAATGTTTTCCTGTTAAGCATCACTGCATACGGCAGTGCGCATATTCTACAGAATATCCTTCTCAGACATAAAACTGTCAATTACTTTGAAAATTTCATTTGCAGTTGCTCTATCATGAAGAGGTTACTGTTATTTTATTTTTTGAATAAGTGTTTCTTTTAGTGAAATTGCTATTTCATGAATTTCTCGACTTACTGTATCATTTGATAATGGAATATTATTAAGTTCATTAGCCGTTTTTAATTGAATAATGTTAAAATGATATCTTTAGCTGTTGGTAATATGACATTTTACTCAACAGTGTGAGCCTGCCCAGTCTTGGCAATTGTTAGGCTTACTAGGTAACTAGCGTCTACAGCTTTTTTGCTTGAAGTAACAAAACCTTTCATTACTTGTTTACTACTTTTTAACTCTGAAAATTTTCTCTTGATATCAGATATCTCTTTCTTCAGATTTATCTTTTAAACTGGCATGCTTAGATTCAAGATGTCTTTTATGAAACTATGGTTTCATACTTTGATTGGTTCATAGTTCACTGCAAACAACACATTGAGGTTTGAGGGTCCATTTTATCTTCATTCCAAGTAAACCCAAATGCTAAATAACTTATATTTTCTATAAACAATTTTTCTTTTCTTTTCAATATTCTTAGTGCTAGTAGATTGTCCTCGATCCATCACCTATGAATCATCACTTTTCCACTTAGTCATTTTTCACTTTTGAAAATCTAGGTTTGCTTTATTATTTTTCCCACAAATATTTAAATGCACAATATATTACAAGTTCTTCAAAAAAAAAAAAAAAAAAAAAAAAAAAAAAAGACAATATTCTCAAATCACGTAGAAAAGTAAGGAATACAAAGCAACAAGACAAAATACCTTCTATTAGAGACAGCAAATTGAAACTAGAGCAATATAAGCCTGAAAATGGTGGCAACATAAAGTTTACACATGCTAATAAATTGATCACCTCTAAAAGAAATTAATGAGATACTATTATACATTTTTCAGGAACTTATTTTTATTTCCTATTAAATAGGACATTCATTTCTATTATTCCTTTTAAAAACATCATTTATGAAAGATTTTGTTATGTCTGTGGCTAAAAGAATATTTATGAAAAACGGATTATTTTGCTAAAGTCTATAAGCGGCTAATGACCTTAAATAAAAGCTCAGATCGCACAAATTTGCGAATGTTAGGGGGAAAAAAAAAAAAAAAAACTTAAACAGGATATTTGTGTATTTAATTTTTGAATTTTCTAGTTAAAAATACTTTGTTTCTTTGTGTACCACTTATTTTTCTCTTGTATACACCAGTGGTATCCGTACCACCGGTTGAGAATTGCTGATATATATACAGAAATATTTGCTGAACTCGGTAAGGGGGGAAAAAAACAATCCTGGAAGTTAAAAAACAGAAAAAAAAATTTTTTTAGAACTTCACTCTACTTGATTACGCATATAAACAGCGTTTGCTGATAGTCGCAGTCATATCTAATTACATTCATCTTCTTTGGCACAGAATTTTAATAAATAACTGAGACAATTATGAAGTATAAGAAAATAATAACTGATGTGAGTACAGTATTTAATGAGCTGTCAGAATTTTTAAAAACCATTTTACACTATTTACAATCATCAGATTGTTTTAAAATTAATTCTCAGTAAAGGTATTAAAGTATATTTTTAGCAAAAAATTGAAAAACTGGCAATTTCATCGATTTTGGGGTATTAAGTCCCCTTGAGGTGAATTTGTTTTCCTGATTATAGATGCAGCAGATAAATATTATCACTGGCTTATAATAATTCATTTTAGTACAGGATTATATGCACATGATAATTTTTCTTAAGTGTTTGAAAACTAGTACTTCAGTATATACTACATTTAACGCTTTATATTTTACTAATCCCATCAAACCATGGAAGGAACTGTTGGTACTGAGAAGTTTTCAAGCCTCAATTATTTTGACTGAAAAAGAATGTGAACAAAGGATAACTACCATATGCAAAATTGCTGCATTTAAAAATTTCTTTTAAAAAAAGAACAAAATACTAATTAAATATGCTACAACTAGCCACAAACAGAACTTAATCATTACTTTATTACCGATTCTTATTAAATGCAGAAAATTTATAAATGGAATAATCTCAAAAATGTCATTTGACTGATTAATATTTAAAGTGCCATGATGTTGATCATTACTAGGCTGGTTAGATTATTTGAATATAGCAAAGCACAGCAGGGCTACCTGCCTAAATGAAGAGATGCTTTCATGGAGGATTTTCTATGGGAAAATGGCTTATATTCACATTACACATTGAGAAAATCATACCTGTTTACATGGATCTGAACTACCAGTATTTAACAGTCTTTAACCACTCTGTCAAAGGTGGGTCCCATTAATGGATTAATCATACATCCCAGTTTGATTAGGGAAATACTTTATTGCCATGTCAAGCGATTTTAGCCAAAAAAAAAAAAAATCCAGATTTATCCTACTTTTATTCAAAATTAAAATTATATTTAGATATTTATATTTTATCCAGTTATAACTTGTAAGCAAGTTTTTGTCAATAACATCAACATTCCTTTGGAGATACATAGTTGAAATAAATGAGGGGAAAGAAAATATGTGTTGATAGCATCCTGTAATATCTTGGATCAGAAAACTGAAAATGAATTTAAAAGAAAATATTCAATGCTAATCAAAAAGAATTAAAATTCACAGAACTTGATGAATTATGTATAAAAATGGTATAGCATGATTTTTTTTTTTTTGTAAATTTATAGCTTATAAAAAAAGTATGATTTTTTTTCCCTTGTGGTAACTCAAAGATCAAAATTATTTTGAAAGATATATGACAAAAGGTTTTGTAAAGAATTATTTTCTCCCATTTTTGTCTGATGGAATTAGTCTCACAACCACAGGCAACTACTGATTAACTAAGCCTATGTAAAACAAAGTTGCTCCTTTCTTGCAGAAAATGGGAAAATAACAATTGCACACCATCAATGTAATATAAACTGTCTACAGAAAAACACAAGAAAAAAAGAAGTGTATGTAAGAAAAAAAGAAGTGTGAAGTCAAGTAATGTATTAGTAGTAGTAACAGTACAACCTACTTTGATGATATGATAATAGTAGTAGTAACAGTATGTTATGTAATTACATTTTGATCATCTGTTAAAAATAAGTTACTTACATAAAATAAATCATTTATTCATTTCTATTTATTCTTTTATTTATTTAAAACTTGCTCTTTTTTAATATTGGTTTAATCTGCATAACCAAATAAACTTCTCCACTAGAAAAAAGTGCTTTGAAAATATATATAAAATCATTAATAATATTTATTTATTAACTATAATGTGGGTCCTGTTTTTCAATGCCCTCACGTGGAGAACTATTAAAGGTACAATAAACGTTAATTGAATTGATAGGAAAATAAATCAAAATTTAATAATGTCCCCCTCCATATATATAAAAAGGTAAAATTCCATAATTATAAAAAGATTTTTACTTGATTAAAAACATTTCAAGCAATATGTGTTACTCATATATCTTTATACTTTTTATTTACATTAAAATCAGTTTTTTGAAGCTATACATATACTAGTGATTAGTAAAACTAATTGCATAATTAAATATTAATATTTTTTATTTAACAGTGAATAAACTATGAATTTTACTATGATAAACACTACCTGAATTTTTAATACATATGATGCATGTTTGTATATATAAGTATTAAATAATTTTTTATCAATATTTGTTCCAGTCTTATGATTGAGAAATGTATAACATATTTAATCTCTAAGGGTTATGTTAAGTTCTGTGCTTTATAGCATTTTTGTAAAAAACAGACTTGTCTGTAATGCATAAATAAAATAAACTGCACATTTAATTTGTTTTTTATTACAAATTTTTAAACACATCAAAAACATTGCATTACAGTTACTGTAAAATTCGAATTTCTTTCTTTAAAGGCAGCTTTGTTAACAAGAGTTCCTTCATCACCACATTTATTTCTTCCAATGCTAGCTGCGAATGGAGACGCAAAACATCATCAGCTTCTGTGCTGTACACAATTTTCAATTGTATATAGAGGCTTTTTATTTCTTTTTCTAACACCTAAAATTTAAACATTATTACAACAAAACTTATGTCGTAAAAATAAAATATTTATACTTTAGAATTTACAAACTAATTTTTCTGTATTTTATTTTAATCTATCAAGCATTGGATATAGAAACATTGGTTATGTTAGCTACACCAATTCTGCATACACATGTTAGAAATATATCTCAGCTGATTGTGTTCTTAAGTAATATTACATTATTAAAGTATTATAACTGCACAATTGTCAGCAACTGTTTGAAAGTGTATAATTATTATTAAGCAATTTATTTTAAGCAAATTAACCATTTCATACAAGACCAACAAGCCTGATACTACATCTTTAAAAAACGTTCCATATTGAGGATTTATATATTTCAAATTGGACAACTATTTATTATTAGCTTCAGATGGCCTAGAGTTCATATACTATATGAATAAATATACAAGCATTACTGATTTTTTGAAAACCCGTCTTTTGACTCTTTGTTTCTTATTTCTTTGCCTATGAATTTTACCCACAATTCACTCTTTCAACTGTTGTTCTTATTTTACTTTTGTATATACTCAGTGCCCGGCCTTTATTTTCTCAACCACTGGTCATAAAAAAGAAAGAAAAAAATGTTTTAAGTGAAGCAAAGATTCATGTTTTTGTAGTTTTAAATTCAATAAACTTAATTTTACATAAAGTGCAAAATAAAGTTTTTACCTGTTCCTATAGTTCTATAATTATATGTACGAAAATTGTGTACTCATTGTAGAAAATAAAATACAAAAATTTTGATTCCCATAAGAAAGATTGACCACAATATATAATTTCAAAATTTGGAATACTTGACATCATTCTTAATTTGCACTAAAGGGCTAGTTAATAAATACATTATTTGAGGTTCATTTTTCCTCCATTATTGCCATTCAATGATATTCTTTTGAGATTTTGATAATGTACTGTTTTACTCTGTAACTGTTCACAATCTGCCATTGGGGGGGGGGAGATATTCTTTTGTGATTTACTAGCATCTTTATTTACAATTTTGTTACATTTGCTTTTCTGAAAGAATTTTCATACAAGTAATTTATAAATTTACAAAGTCTAAAAATACATAATATTCTCATGAAGTTTTATCAGTTTAAGAAGTATTATATTTATTTAAAGTTTATGAAGTTTAGAATCAATTTTTTAATCTTATAAAAATTCATTAAAGTATAAATATTTTTCATTTTTAATTAAATTGGTTAGCCAATTAATCAGCTAAGTGCCAATATTGAAGGCTGCCAAAGTTTTCTAGAATATTAATTCTACTGAGATTCCATGAATAAGATCTCCATTTCAGAAAAAAATCAAATTAATAAGTATTTTTTAGACGATCACTACATAACTTTATATCAGAAACTTTTTCCTAAACAATATTTTATTTTTAGTTATGTACAAATGCAAAAATTTTGTTTATTCAGTTTATGAATGGCCCCCGAGTACGATTCTTGATTTTAATATCAAATATCTTGGTCAATTTTTGTTGCACAGGAATCAAACATTTTTTAAAAATATATGTGGAAATTTTTTCTTAATATAAGTATTGGATCCAGAGGAAAGTGTAAAAAAAATTTATAATTTTTACAAGATTGATTTCTTTAAATTTAAAAATGCCAAATTATAAAGCTTTGCATCACTTAAAACATGTTTGTAAATGTAAAAGTTCAGCATATCACATACTGTTGCTGACTCTGGTGACAAATCTACATCTCATAAATGATGTTCATCATCATATGCACATATTGTTGTTCCTGGTCACCCATTTGAAACAATTTTTTCATATATCTGTGATTAAAATTACTTTAATTTCCATACTTAATTTTCCATGCTCATTGCACTTACTATGTTTTCACATTCCATTATGCACTTCACTACAAAAATTATTATTCTAGTATAATTTATATTTGCATATTCTGGTATAACTTAAAGGTGTGGCCATTGATTCTGTTATACTCTGTATATATACATTGCTGGCCATTAAAATTGCAACACCATGAAGGAATAACCTAACAAATGTCAAAATGACATGAAGAGGAGGTTGGGATAAGCAAATGATTAATATTTCAACACATGACACATGAGTTACATTAGGTGACACAGGAAGCAGACATCTGAAGACTGCATAAAAGAAACATCTGAAAATGACATCTGAAGACTGCATAAAAGAAAAATCTGAAAATGACATCTGAAGCACTGCATAAAAGAAAAGTTGTGTAGTGGATTTCTCATTCAGAAAGCACTTTGTAAGGCCAGAGTTTGCTCAGAATAGAATATGGTGTTATGTCTCGAATAAGAAGATGAAATACTTACCAGCAAGTGTCAGAATTCAATAGAGGCAGGATCGTTGCCTATCGAGAGTGTGAATTAGCGTTCTGTAATATCACCCGTCGCACTGGTTAACACCCAACCTGCCATGCAAATATGAAATCAATGTGTTGCTGAGGGTCATACTAAATGGCACGCAGGATCTCAATGCTCCCCTATGACTAACTCCTGAGAGGGCAGACATTGTGAGTTCAGCCCTGCAAAATCTACAGCCACATCACGGACCATTAGTCAGGAAATGGGCATCTGTTCGTTTGGTGTGTTGAAATTTGCAGTAACGTGGACTATCAGCACAGTGCCCATTACTTCGGCTTCCCTTGACAATGCAGCATAGATAGAAGCATAGACTGACATTTCAATGAATGTCATACAAAGGCTTATGAGTATAGCTGGGATGTTTTGCATCTCACTAGACCTTGCTACCCTCAGATTTTCATGTCTTCACGTCACTTCAGAATTCTCTGAAAGGGCTAGAATTTATTTCTTTGGAAACTGTCAAACAACATCTCGACAATTTCTTTGGAAATAAATCTAATGGCTCTTTTTAAAAAAAGAAAAATAATTTTCAAGCTTCCAGGAAGATAGCAAAAAACTGTAGGAAAAAATTGTGCTTATGGGATTCAATGAAATGTTATTTTTTAAATTGATTTAAGGACTATTGCATATTAGAGTTAGAATTTTGTTTTATATATAGTTTTTCCTTAAATGATATATATTTATAGACACATATGTTTTATATAATAATACATAAGGCAAAATTTAATAAATCTATAGAATTTATCTTTAATTTATTTAATCTTGCTATCTTATTGTAATTGATAAAATTATGACAAAAATCATTTGAAAATGATCTTAAAATTTACATATTAGAACTCACACAGTTGATGCCCTTTTTCTCAGCTGTCAATGCAACAAAACATTTAATCAAAGGAAATTTCATTTTATATTAAATATGCCACTGTTTGTAAAATTTTGCCTTCCCTTTACAAAAATCATAATTATTTATTGAACAATCAAAATTTTACCTTAAGCAAATCATTTCCAATTCCTCGAAATAAGAGAGTAATGACCATCACTGCACATCTTCGGACTTCCAAATCTTTATCGGTCTTCAGTAAGGCCAGAACACAAACAAGTATCTAGAGAAAAAAAAAAATGATAATAAATATGAATATTATCACCTTCCACCATCTTAGAAACAGTTTTAAATATTTACAAAGGCAACAAATTCATTAAGAATTACATTAACTAATTTCCAGCGGAATAAAGAATCCGTTGTACTGACAAACTGGTTCAATTCATCATTTTGTCTATTTTTATATATTTATTTTGATATATAAAAATTTACTTATTTGCATATAAATTAATATTTTAAGATACAGAATAAAATCTACACATTGCCTTCTTCTTACGATCTACAGCAGATTTCTGGCCAAAACTGTTTCATTCACCTTCTGCCATCCTGACCCATCTGATGTTCCAGTCCTCCACCAAATGACATCCTATATTAACCACTTTTCCACATTGTCTACCACAATGCCACCTTGTCCATGGCCTTTCTCTCCTTCTCTTGTTGCTCTCTGGCTTTCAAAATGTCAGTAAATTTCTTCACCAGGTTTTTATCTCTGTATCTGTACATATGGCCTAGCCATATTAGTTAAGAGGCTTTAATAACTTTTATAAAGTTCTCTAAATTTTTAATATTGCATTCTAAGGATTCAGATTAGACCTCAGAAATTAATAATCTAGATCAGGCATCAAACTCATAGGCCACATATAGCTTTGGTCTCATTTTTCTGTGGCCCTAGGTCCATCCCAAGAAAATTACAAAAATATATAATTATAATACATTAATAAAATTGGAATTCCATCCAATATCAATGTGTATATACATCCTCAGGTGCAATAAAGGATACTTAAGACAGTCGCTTTCCAAAAATATTTTCTCAGCTGATTCTAAAAATTGCCTGCCAAATTACATTAACACTGAATGTGACTAAAAGAAAAATTCAGTGAAATGGATATCTCAGAATTTGGAAATACTTACTTGTGTGCTTTCCAAAAAAACCACACTTCACACATGAAATCAAGGTTATTTGAGTTATTCTAATAGTGTGTATAAATGTGAACAATTTATAAAAAGGAACTTGTCTCATTGAGATTAGTTTAATAGACATTCATCTAATCTCTGTTCTGAAAATCGCTAGTGTGAGCAGCACGTGTCTTTAGACATCCAAAATCTAAATCTGAGTTAAAATACTGAATAATGATTATTGGAGGAGTTAAACAACAAAAATCAGCATATTATTCATAAATTTGAAGGACTAGTTTTTGAGGTTTAAATACAGAGCCTTCTTCTTCAGTTGCAGAATGCCTTCTTCCCACCCCCTACCAAAATATTAACTTACTAGTACTGGTAATTGCAGCACTGTTAACATTTTATACAGTCTCTCGGCTGCATCATGTTCAACCAAGTTATGTTTCAGACACTTTTTGGTTGCACTGCTAATGTATCTTGAAATTTTGCTTAAAAAAAACCAACAGTCTATTGCTGTTTGTAGCTAAGAGTTTATTAGTGAAGGTCCACTGAGTTTAACCACCATAAGGTCATTGAGTGTCGAATTGTCTATGCAAGTTCTGAGATCAGTTAAATGAAAATTCATTGGCTAAAACTTAGTTTATAAGATGGTGTGGAAGATGACAAAACTGTGACTATTGACAATAACTGGCTGAGAAAACAAAATCTTTTTTTGTATGAATTTGCTTATAAAAGAAAAATTCATGTATTTCTACATCCAATACAATACTTCAAACTCATACTATTCATTCTATAACGATTTCAAGTTTTGCTTTGAAATGACAGATATCCTTCGAAGTGATTGTATAAAGTTACAATTTCATCCTTTTATTGCTTTCCAAACCATCATGAGGCCACATGAAAGTGTCAAACACAGCACTTCCCTTTTAACATCCACATCCCATCCTAAAAATTTTTTCTTAAGCTACTTTATTCTATGCAAAATGATTTTCTGCTTGTCTAAATAAAAATTTGACGATCAATATTTGTTAGCTGACATTCCTATAATGTTTATAAGTTGATGTTCCTAAACTTCCTACAAGAATTACTTGAACTGACAAAATGTTGTTCATACATGCCTGTTTAGATTCCAAGTCATTCAACTCAGAAACTGCCTGATTAATATAAACCTCTATCTGGATTAAAATCATGACCTATGCTTGAAAAATCACAGAAAGTTCCTTAAATATGGAAGGAAATATAGAAAGGAATATGCAGTTAAGACAAACTGAAAGTTTTCCATTTGTTTGTTTCAGGAATCCTTTGGCCAGAGCAGGGTTATTTCCTTTTACATTTGACACTTCTAAATGAACAAATCACTACATGCAGCTTATCATAAAAAATGATGAATAAGTTTTTTTTTTCCTTCAAAATTGAAATCTTATTCCCAGAATCTTAACACTCGCAAGCATGTATCCAACTAATTAATTGGTTAACCAATTTGATTAAAAATGAAATGTATTTATATCTTTTTTTTACAATTGCCAAATAATGATTCTTAAAGCAATTAAATTTCATGAGAATATTAATACAGTAAAAAGTCTTTAAGCCGGACTTGTCGGGACTTCGGCAATTCCGGATTATAGATCATCAGTTTAAATCTCGTAAGATGGCATGCAGAAATTTTAAAATTAAAAATATGAAACCGTAATTTATGAAATAAAGAGCAATTATGATCTAAAGGGTATCAAAATTTACAAAAAAAAAAAAAAAAAAACTTTATATTTATTTGTTTACTTTATTAAACATTTCTTTCAATGTGCGCATGCGTAAAGCATACATTACGCATAGTTGAAATTTGTTGTGAAACTGATTAGCTGTATCTAACAAATATTAAAAACAAATCTCTCCATTTTGATGTACGAGACACAGATGGCGTTGGCTGTCATTGAAGTAGGAAGAAAACAAGGGTTTTCCCCTTTCGACCTCATGACGTGAACTGATTAAGATGTGTAATAACTTTCGGGGCCAGAAAAATTTCCCGACAATTGTTAAAAAATGTATATATTTTGTAGTATAGAGAGAATATAATTAGATAAATCAACTTCTTAGAGTTTTTATTACAGATTCAACATCACACTACCCAGGTAAGTGAGCAAGTTTTGTCTTTAGTTTTTCTGGATTGCTCGGTATCTGGGATGAGTGAAGGAAGTATTTTTATTTTAATGATATTTAATGATAAGACTATGTTTTAGTAATAACAAAAAGTGGCGTCCCGTGACAGGACTCTAAGAAATAAACTTTAAAAAAAATTATTTTAATGGTTATAGATAGTTTTTGATGTATTAAAGTATAATTAAGTTTAAATTCGAAACTATTTTTTGTAAAGCAGTTTTATTTTGAAAGTTAACTATGGAAGCTTTAAAGGCTCTGAAACTTAAACGGGCAGGTTTACGCACTTCTTTTGCAAAAACTGCTAATATTTTAAAAACGGAATTAGTAAAAGAAGATTTTTCTGTAGATTTAGTACGAGATAAACTTACTAAACTACAAAATGTATATTCAGATATAAAAAATGTAGATGATAAAATTCTTGATTTGTTAGCTGAAGATTATGGAAAAATTAAGACGGGAAAACTTTAGAGGATGATGTTACTAAAGAAATCGAAAGTCGCGAGGTGTATTCTGATGATTTCATAACACTAACTCGGCAAATTAATGAAAAATTGCAATTTTCAGATGAAATCAATTTAGAAACAAGACCAAATGATGGTGCTGGTATTTGTTGTAGTAAGATTAAACAGTATAGACTTCCGAAAATCGAACTTAAGAAGTTTGATGGGGAATTGATAAATTGGTTACCGTTTTGGTCGCAGTTTGAGAAAATTCACACTGACCCTGATTTATATGAAAGTGACAAATTTTCCTATTTGATTCAGTGTATGAAGCCCGGATCACGTGCTAAAGAATTCATTGAAACCTATCCGGTGACTTCGGAAAATTATGATAAAGCTGTTTTAGCTTTGAAGGAACGTTTTGGGAAACCTGAATTATTAGTAGAAGTGTATGTTAGGGAACTAATTAAATTAATTGCTTCTAATGTGAAGGCAGATCAAAAGGATAAATTACCTCTTGATAAACTGTATGATAAAATTGAAGCTCAGTTGAGAGCCTTAGAGTCTTTAGGTCTTAAATCGAGCGAAAACACATTTCTGATGGTGGAATCGTGTCTCACAGAGGATGTTTTAAAGGCGTGGCAAAGGAGTTCGCTCTTTAACCAGCCTGAAGGAACTGATCTTTCTCATTTACCAACTTAATGAAATTTTTAAAGTCTGAAGTGGAGGGTGAGGAGAGATTAAAATTGGCGCGTAATGGACTCGATGGTGTTAGTCGTAAAGAAGGATATCATGATAAAGCAAAGAGGGAAACAAAAGGTAAATTTAAATTTAAGAAACAGGGAAATGTTCCCACTGCCACAGGTTTTCTTACAACCAGAGAACATGCATGTATTTTTTGTGGTAAAATGCATGATAGTAAAAATTGTTACGATGCGCGTTCATTATCTCTTAATGAAAGGATTTCTAAAGTTAAGGAGAAAAAATGCTGTTTAAAATGCTTGGAACCAAATCATATGGCAAAGTTCTGTAAACAGTTTGTTAGGTGTTTTGCTTGTGGTAAATCACACTCAGTTATTTTGTGTCCGGACATTAATAATGAAACTGAACTTCCTACAGAAAAATCAGAAATAGACAACATACATACGGCTACAGCCAGGCAAACTTGTACCGCTGACGTAGCTTTAATGACTTTACGCGTAAGAGTAGCTGGTGTCAAAAAGCATCAAGATGTTAGAGTACTCTTAGATTGGTGTTCCCAGAAATCGTATATTTTGAAATCATTAGCCACTGAATTGGGATTACCAATTATTTCCAAAGAAAATGTTGCTCTTACTTTATTTGGAGGTGCCAGAACAGAGGCAAAGATGCATAACAAATATTTGGTAAAATTATGTTCAGCCAGTCCGCGTAAGTATTCAGATCTAGAATTTGAATTTTTAGATCAAGACATAATATTTGGGGATATACCTCGGGTACCCAAGGACCCGATATTGAAAAGAATTAAAACGAAACAACATTTGGTTGTCGGATCTGG